CACTATATAACACAATATTGCACAATACACAGAGATGCACAGTAAAATTACAAGAATGTTACAGAACGTAACAGAATTCTATGTCGCAACACAACACTTAACGGTTTGAGCGGCAGTCAGATGTAAATTGTAGGCAAGGAGAAAGGTGAGGAAAAGAGAGGGACCTACTGTGCTGCCGCCTGGGGCATGGAACTTCTGAAATGAACTAACTTAACTTCCGGAGCCAAAAAATACTGCGAGTTTGAACCCCCTGGTGGCGTGAATTTTTTGTGTTTGGCTGTGAGAGTAAGATCTGAATTTCTTCCGCGTGAATTAAACGCGCGAAAAATGTAGCGACGGATTGACGCGCCGTCTTGCTGTCTGTGGGATTCAACGAGTAAATTCTCGAACTTGCGTACACTTGTGATAAACTTTAGGAGAGGGAGAGTAAAAGTGGGCGGATCGCGACGCACTTCGCCGACAGGTCGATGAATAAGAATCGCGTGGAATCGCGCGTCTCGCGTAAGAGCACGACGAGTGAGACGTCAGGATGCTGAGATTCCTCTCGCGACGAAGGGCGCGTACCGGCAGCCAGACAACTTCATCGCAGATAAAAAATCAGAGACTACCCAGCAACAAAAATCAGGTGCAGTGCAGAGTGGTGCTGCTGGACGGCACGGATTTGCCCATAGAGCTATCAGTAAGTTTCGTCATAAGGAAAAAAGTAGAAGCAGTCAATAAATTATTGTCATTAGTAATTAGCAGGAAGAAACACGCGTTCTATTCTGTGTGTCTCCAAAAATTATTACTATGTAATAATTATATCTGCTTCTATGTTTTTATTCTATAAAAAAATATATTACATCACAAATCTAATAGTTGATGTATTTTTTTAAATATTTTTTCTTTGTAAAAAAATAAACTGCACATCTGTGTGTTATATATGTTGTTTTATAATTATTATGGTTTTTTGCAGAAAAAAGCATTGGCTAGTGACTTATATGAGCAAGTATTTTATAGTCTAGACTTAATAGAGAAAGATTACTTTGGCCTACAGTATACAGATAGCAATAATGTTCAACATTGGCTTGACCCAACAAAGCCTATCAAAAAACAAGTCAAAAGTATGTGTTACTTCTTTAATTTCTACTAATTTTCTTAAAGCAAAGACACAATATATCGTGCTTATGCAATATGTATGTTGCTTATTTAGTTGGACCACCATACACGCTCAGATTGAAAGTAAAATTCTATTCCTCGGAACCGAACACACTTCGTGAGGAATTAACACGGTATCAATTCTTCCTGCAATTGAAGCAAGATGTTTTAGAAGGCAAACTTCACTGTCCTCATCAAGTTGCAGTTCAGTTGGCTGCTCTGGCTCTTCAATGTAAGTGCTTGAACAATAACCTTGATTAAAATTTAAGTTTTCTGAAAGAGATTATTATTAAACGTGAGAAACATTGTCAGTGTTATAAAATAAACTTCTTATTTTAGCTGAATTGGGAGACTATGATCCTGCTGTGCACAGTGCTGCGACCGTCTCTGAATTTCGCTTTGTACCGGGACAGACAGAACAGATGGAACTAGAAATACTGGAGGAGTATATCAAATGTTCTGGTCTCAGTCCAGCGCAAGCGGAATCCGCTTATCTCAGTAAGGCTAAGTGGCTGGACATGTATGGCGTCGATATGCACACCGTTCTTGGCAAGGACGCCTGCGAGTACTCTTTGGGATTGACGCCGACCGGCATCCTGGTTTTCGAAGGCACACAGAAGATAGGCTTGTTCTTCTGGCCGAAGATCGGTCGTTTGGATTTTAAGAAGAAAAAGCTGACGCTAGTGGTGGTCGAAGAGGACGACGAAGGCAGAGGTGAGCAGGAACACACCTTTGTGTTTCGTTTGGTGAACGAAAAGGCATGCAAGCACCTATGGAAATGCGCGGTAGAGCATCACGCTTTCTTCCGTCTGCGCGCACCCGTCAAAGGCGCTAGCGGTCGTCAAAACTTTTTCCGCATGGGCTCGCGTTTCCGCTACAGCGGTAAGACGGAGTTCCAGACGACGCAGCTCAATCGCGCCCGCCGTACCGTGCAATTCGAACGACGACCGAGTCAGAGATACGCGCGACGACAAAGTCATGTGCTTCGTGAAAGACAGCGTCAACAGCAGCAGCAGGTGGAACAACCGCAACCGTCTCCGCCTCCAGGTAAGTTATTACGACCACGAAGTAAAAAGAGTTTTCAGGAACTATCTTTTGTATATAAACTATTATATATACGTGAAATAAATTTAAAAACAATATTTTTAGCCGAGGAAGAGCCTCTACAGCGTCAGTCGAGTCGATCCAGTACAAAATCTTCGGACTCATCGAGCGTTCAAGGCACATCATCGCCTCTGGTAGATTCTCTGTTGAAATCTCTCGCCAAGGATCAACAACCTTTGGAGGCTCGAAATCAAGCGACGGTCGTTAACAGCGAGAAAGAATCGGAACCTATGAAGACAAGTTTGACGGTCGAGGCGATGACCAGTCAAGTGCAATTAGTGCCTAATAATCAAGTTGGCGGAACATCATCGTTACCGCCGCGAACGCCTATTCCGCCGGAGTCGCTGAAATGTAACATATTGAAAGCGACTCTTGAACAGGGCAAGAATTCGAATTTGGTCTCCATTACGTCGACCGACGGTCCTGGAATCACCGCGAAAAAAAATCAACACGCGGACGCAGCAACGATCGTTTCAGTGGTAAGCGTCACAAACTTTTGCCTTAATTTTTCAGTTTCTTGTCTTCTTCTGAATATCTATATTTTTAATTTTGTATTTTTGTACGTTTACAGTATATGTGCTTCTCTCTTGAAGTTGTGCATTTTTTTTCTATTTTATTCAATGTTTTATAATAGTTTTCTCAAAAAGTTAGAGGCTTATTGAGCAATAATGTGTTATTTAAAACTGTTTCTTATTGTTTGCGTTTATATACCTCTTGTGCTCGCTTTATGCCGCTAGCTGCCGGCCATAATGTGTTTGCTTTCTCGCTTTTTTCGTCGAACAGGGCGGTGATAAACTGACTCTCTCTGTGAGCGGAGCTACAACGGCAGTAAATCCTTCTACGGACGATGCCGTAACCGTAACACATTTCTCGTTAGACAGCTGGGGTCAAATCGAGCAAAAAACCACACCGTTAAGCCCGAAAGTGTCCAATCAATCGCAAAATCCATTCAATCCGTTCACCAATGACACTACTAGCAACGAAGTATCGAACACGCTTGAAGTTTCCGAGGAGGAAGCAAAGCCAGAAGACGATAAGAAAAAGAACACCAATCCGTTTATAGACTCAAATCCATTTTTGGGTATACTTAATCCTTTCAAAGATTTACAACCCGTCACAACGGAGAAAAAAGCGGAGACAGATACGGAAAAAGTTGGAGCACGAGTTGTTAAGACCGAAGAGATACAGACAACTACTACTACACTGACACACAAGGTCAGTTACGTTTCTTGCGCTTGTAAGCCAGCAGTAGCGTCTCATTTATTACATAAACGTCCAGGTTCTCGTAAGAACGAAACAAAATTTAGAAGAGAGTCTGAAAGATAGGTCGCTTAACATTAATTACAAATTAAGAGAACATTATTTTCTTCCAAAAGTAAGTTTCATTCATTGTGAAATAAGAATTTGTTTTGTCTCATGTGAAAGTTGTTTCTTTCTGTACGTGTGTGTAACGTATTGTTCTGTACGTGTGTGTAACTTCGTCTGAATTTTGTTACTTGAAATGTTAACTATTTAAAGTTATTTTAAGTGGAAATAATATCGCAATTGAAGTAATTGGCAATTGAAGTAAAGCGATTTTTAACAGTACATTGGGAGAGAATGTTTTTTTTTTTTTTTATAGGACGAAAACCAAGCAGCTTCAGCTATTAGCCCGTGGATGGTGGCGGAGCCGTCTCAGAGCCCAGTACCTGATAAAACACCAACCAAGCATACAGTTATCACAAGAAAAACGGTAATTACCACACAATTATAAAATGTTTATTTAGGAATACAAAGGAAAGAAGATCTATATGTACACAATATATATGCGAGAGAAAATAGCACCAACATATACATTTTACTCCGGTCTTCCTCGGACTGCCTTTTTTTACTTGAAATGCTTAGAAAATGTGTGCGGTGTTAGTACATATAATTGAAAATCAGACGCATAAAAGTATTTGTTTAAAAAAAATACCTTTTATATGGTAAAGGTATCTAGTTGTACTTAAGTTGTACTTAAATGTAAAGACATCATCGCGGGAAGGTGTTGCTTTCAAGTCATTGTTATGAATTTTTGTGTTAGGTAATAATCGGACATCGTTAATAATAATTGTTTTTTTTTTTTTGTATATTGAATAAGAATTTGTATGACAAAGTGAGATTTGTTGCTTGTAGCACCGCGAACATTCCTTAATTTTACGATGTATTTATCTTGCGTGCAAAAATAAGTGAGAGAAATAAGTGTCCTTATAACCTGCCAGTATGTATTGTAAGTACAAGGTTTAGTCGTTTTAACTGCACTTTTTATTGCTGTTTACGTGAGTTCTCTTTCGTTTTTTTTTTTTTTGCCCAAAAAAAATTAACACGTTGAACGCAGAAAAAAATCGAGTGCGGTTGAAACGAACGACCTATTACGCAAGGAAACATGTGTTGTTTGTCATGTTCAATACCTACGCATTTATATGGTAGCACTTCTCGTGTAGCTAACTGTGCCTTCGAACACTTAACACAAAACAAATACGACTATGCAATTAGAAACAAAAGAAAGTGATCGCATATTCGCCGACTGATTAAAACTATAAGAATATTATCAATACTATCAAAGAAATGATATAAAACGTTATGTAAGTAGATCTGATCGAAATTTTTAGAAACTATATTTTTACCGGGAAGAAGTCATAAAATCTATTAACATTTTTTTTATCTACGATTAATCAGTTCACAATGATGATTGATTATATCGAGCCTATCTGCTCAATTTTGCTATTTCGAAATTTGATCATACTATATTCGTATAATAATAATAGTAATCATGATATTCGATATATAAATAAGTAAAGAATTTATATAAGTTACATTACCAGTCTTAGATGAAACACAACTCGTGCAGCTAAATCGTGCAGTTATTTGTGTATTTAATATTCGATATTTTTCGAAAGAAGATCGGATTTTTATATCATATATACATTTATATGTACAATATATAGAATATATATTACTCCTGAGATAGTTTTCTATGATTCGTTCCTTTTTTTGATTGCATACATTTGTCCTTTCTATATGCCATAATTTTTATACGAGTTCAAGTAGGATATAACACACCACATGTGCTATGTCGTTATTAAATATACATACAGGATGTCCCAGTTTCTACCCATGTGACTATAGCATTTCCATTGTCCCGTGTAACAATGACATACGACGTAACTGCCGCTTCGAAACGATATGAGGTTTTTTACACGGTATATTAATACAAGCGATGTATTTAAATTACGAACGGGACCATCGATGTACTTAATTAGCATAACAAGTGTTTCTCTCTATGTTCGCAGGGAGGAAATAGCTACTATCCTCTTTTTCTCTTTTAACTGATTTTTAATTTTATATCACGTTTTCGTAAATCTAAACATACTTAGCATACAACTGTTAGAGTTTAAATCGATGAGTGAGAGCAGGGTAATTCAAACCGGTTGCAGGACATCAACGAATTCCTTACGTAGCGACTTTATCGATATACTGCTGTCCTTAGTTACAATGTTCTATCTTGCATGTTTGCATTTTTCAAGATATATTGAAGTATTGGAAGTTCTACACATGTTCCATCTTCTAAATAAAGACTTTAGATAGACGTCCAGAAAGTGTTTAACTTAGTTGTCCTAACTGCTGATGGCACAAACAAAAGAATAAGAAATATTAATAACAGCTCGATGAAACAATTTATAATACAAAGAAAAAATCAACGTCCGGAATACACTGCGTCTCATGTTGCATTTAAACGTCCACATTCAACCTGGACCATACGTTCTTTTTCTTTATTATAAAAGAATAAAACTCAGTTTTTTTCGATTCTTCTGATATGCTAGATAGGATATTTTAGCTAAGGAGGGCAGTATAAGTCTTCATCAGTGGGATTATCTTAAATGAATTAATTTTCTTAAATATGTGACGATAATAATATTGATAATCCCATAGTGACAATATCAAAAGCTACTAAATTTGACAACAGTTTTATATAAATATCCTCTTCTTAAGAGTTTACTTATTGATCGTCACACATTTAAGGAAATGTTAATTTAAGAATAATCCCGCCGATGAAGACTTAAATCAATAAAGTCAAAACATCTGGAATACTAATTTGTTGACATTTACTTTGTTTTTACTGCACGACGTCCTGCAATCAGTTGCCCTGATCTCGCTTATCGATGTGAAATAGTTGATTGCGAACCAGAGGACACTTTTTTACGTGGTTTCTTATAGCATTTAATATTATTGCAATATTTGTATTTGATTAAGTATTTTATTGTATTTAATGCCAAGAAAATGAGCGCGACATATACTTTAACTTGAAAAAGCTAATATATCACGTTCATATATATTATAGATATATATATATATTTACAATATAATATTGTATTGAATTATATATGTCGATACCCTGATATTATTCCGTCCTAAAATGTCCTATATACTCAATGTTATGTTATTTTTGCTTTTTAATAAAAAAAAGACAAACTTTTATACGTTTCATTATTATAATTTTCGTCTGTTTATTACATAACTATATATATACGTATAATTCTTAAACAATTATGACTTAAGGCTCGTTAAAATTAATAACAAGAAATATATAAGGCCTTACGAGCCATTCCCAGGATGTTGAGTGGAAACTGTACGTGTATATATATATATATACACATGTAACGAATTCAACTTGTAAATTTTTACAAGTGAGTGTTTTTTAGAATTGAAATCTCAATTCTTAAATTCATACGGGATGCTGGATTTGCATCTCACATATGAGAGACTCCGGATACCCGGGGGTTAATTCTAAAAAACACTCACTTGTAAAAATTTACAAGTTAAATTCGTTACATGTGTATATATATATATATATATATATATATATATATATATATATGTACACGTACAGTTTCCGCTCAACATCCTGGGAATGGCTCGTAAGGCCTTATATATTTCTCGTATAATTCTTGTTAAAACACGCAAAATATCACTAATTAGGGAAATATAATTAAGGAAGAAAATAAAGAATAACAAGTACATCTTTGCCGCTTGCAGTGCACAACAAGAACACACGCGTACAAAAATTTATTCGTACAAATCATGAGAGTGTGAAATGAATATTAACTGATGAATGAAATCATTTAAGTATTTATATTTTACAGTTCGTATATCTCCATCTATAGAATTCTATAGATTGAGATATAGAATTATAATATAGAATTCTATAGATTGAGATATAGAATTATAAATATATAGAATCCTATAATTATATATATATAGAATCCTATAGATGGAGATTATTTGTATATTTAGTTGTTCTTTTTTCTCGAGTAATCTTTTTTTTTATAAAATACTCTTTAGCGTGTGTATATATTTTCGTTTAATTTACAATAATAAGTAACTCTTCAGCATTTGTTTAAGTCACTTGTTTGAACTGACAGTACGATCTGTATGTACATATGTATGTGTACATCTACTATTAGATTTAGCGAATAGAGACTACGTCAGGAAGAGGCTTACTCAGTTTTCCCTAATTTAAGCACTCTAGTCTAATAGTGAAAAATAAGTCTAATGAGACGAAACAAAACAAAAACGTATTTGTAAATGCATTTTTTTTTTTTTTATATTTACACGGAATGTCACCTCAGCATCATGAAATGCTAAATTGATGATTATTGTTATTATCGTACTTGCGAAAAGGCATTTGTATGTGTCACAATCTATTAAGTAAATGAACACGTTTTTTACATTTTTAAAAAAGACATACACGCTTGTTTCTATTTACACGAAGGAAACCGTGATATCTTATCTTGACACATAAAATATGTGTGTGCGTGTTATGTAGGCCTTCTTAGCTGCCAGTTCATCGTCAGACTTATCAGTCTCGTATTGTGTCATCAATTATATTGCGCGGTTAAGTAAGACGGCAGATATTAAACAGGTGTTTCCGAATTGTTCCACTCTTTGATGTCCTGCCGGGATGGTGACTGAATGCTCGAGGACTCTCGTATCATCAGACTCACCGTGTCAGAATAATCTACGTTTATGCATCGTTCTCCATCCCGCGGTAAACTTCTGTTGGATGACGGCGAACTGTTCTCCGCGCTACAGTCATGTCTGAACACGCTGTCTGACTGAGAATGCGTCGGTGTGGACAGCTCCGATACCAGCGGGGTGGACTCGTCACTCTCACCACCAGCTGGAGATCCCATCGGCACGTTGCCGATCAGACGCTCCTTCAACTTCGACAGTTTCTCGAGACTGGAAGTGGGCACGATCGTTTCGTCGGTCAGTGTTGAGATCGAACGTCTCTTCTTAATGGCCGTCGACGACGACACGGTCTTCAGCGGTGTGCTGTTTCCCATGTATCTTTCGTCGGTGGATTTCGACCTGAACGCGGGTTTCGGCGATGGCGGTGGCGAAACAAACAATGAAGAAGGCCGTGTACTGATGTTACTGCCAGTTCTCTTCAAAGGCTTCTGTGAGCAGGCGGATCTCGTGCTATGTTGAGACGTGATGCTGCGCTGAGAATTGGTGCGGTGCAGGAACACAGTGGAGTCGTGTGAACTGTCGTCCGAACTTTCGGGCTCATCGTTAATCGGCACCCAGTGGAACAATGGGTTGGCCTGGAGCAGCACGTACTCTGTGTCTTGAGTGCGTCCTAAAACAAGACACTCATATCATATTTGTTTCTCGTTATCATATAAATTTGTAAGTTACATTCTGTCTCTTAGAATAATTTCTCACGATTCTTTTTGAGAAGCTACTTATACAATACGAGAGATTATACTTGATCAAGTTATCTTTGAAAATAAATAATCTAAAAAAAAGAAGATATTGGAAATAAAGTTTTAAGCGAAAATATGTGAACTCGATCTGACTTGAAAAGAAATCATTCTATAACAATTTAATTTTGCTTTTTGGTCCTTGAGATGTTTTGACATAATAGTTTGAAGGCCTCTAGATACATAAATTGTAAAAAAGGTAATGTCAGACTTGGTTTGCAAGAAATTTTATTGCCATTTTGCTCTCGTAATATATACTCGTAATATATAACATATTTTAAATACCGCTCATATAACACACTAACAATCTAGTAGTATTTATTAGCACATACACGCGCATTACAAGAAATATAACGTTAGTCACAAATAAAGGACGCAAGGTTCGATCATAGCTCAGAATATGCTACTTTAAGAATTTATATTCATATATTATAATTATATATATTATATTATAATAATTATTGTGTATATAACTATATCATTATTACAATAATTATTATATTATTGTTATAATTATATATATTTTGTAATTATATAAGATGTATATATAAGGTATATACATATACAATATATACAATATATATACTTTTAAAAATATAATATCATTTGATTTTTGAAGTAGCATAAACATTTTCTCACAAGAAATATTATATTTGTTTTTACCAACACATAATTTATCACAGTCTTTTGTACATGAATTGTTCACAGAAAACATTGAATAGTTAGAATAACGTTTTGTGACACTATCTTGATAATATCACGCGTTTATTAAAAAAAAAATGCAATAAAATATACTCGTATATATATATATATTGATTAACAAAAATTCCTTTAAAATCCCGTTGCAAGGTTTTGGATGACACAGTTTTTTCTTTTCTTCGTCCTCAATATGGCACTGACATACGCATTTTAATGTTAAACTATATTTTTTATCAAATGAGCATTATGATACATTAACAGATTTGCGCATACAATAATATTCCCTAATTCTACTACAAGATTTATTTTCTCTTTACGTGGTATGTGTGTGTGTATATATATATGCGACTTTAGAGTATATGATACAAATAGTATTCCGTGTCTGTATAATCGAATATATAAAAAGAAATATTAAATAATTCGAGTTTTCTTAACAGCACACTTTGGCACGATACCGTCGTAATGTGAGTGCAAATGATAATGACATTGAATTGTACATTTCAATGCAAGTGCTGGGGAATGTTTTTTTTCTGTGTGACATGCGGAACATGAGCGATTTTTATTCATCATCATGGTCACCATCGTTATCATCATCATCATCATTGTCTGGTCTCGGATTCGATTAGAAGTTAGCTGTATTCGATGGAGGAATCACTGTTTTGTTCGTGCTGCGATGGCTCTTGAATTATGACCACCGGTAGGTTAAGTGGTAGGGAAGTGGGCTCACCTGTAGAAAGCGAGTCTGTCGTCGGTGCCACCACTGGCGATGGCACGTCTAATACATCCTCGCAAGCTTCCTCATTCAAAGTTTGCAATGCTCCGCAAATCATTTGCTCCTCTAATGTCACCTAAAATACATGTATAAATTTTATTTTAGATAATTTGATCTCATCATCTAGAACCTAAAGTAATTAAATTTTCAAATAACATGTAACCATATAAACACACACACACGACAAACTTACCTGAAACTAATGTACGGAATGCAAACGTAAATAAATCACAACATTAGATTTAGTTGTTGCAATATTATTTATGAAAATATTATGATTTAATAATTGCTTTTAAAGTATGAGTAAAGTTATATGTTTATATATAAATTTTTACTAATTATTGAAGTTGATGACACCTATATTATACCTGTTTTTCCATAATAGATTGCTTGTTCTGATCACGACGGGAAGAACCGTCTGTTCTTGATGTTCCTTTTTCTTTTTCCACATGAGCTGGGATACGCATCGAATTATTTTGCGAAGCGTGATCTAAGACACGAATAAAAATTAATTATTGATTGAAACATTGATTGAACACAAGAAGCACAGACGAAGGGAAATATAATATTGATGTACCTTTTCGCGCGGGTTGCTCGGATCCCACAGTAAATCGAACGCTTCGAGAACCCTCCTCATATGTAACGGACGAGAGTTCCAATTCCCTGAGCGATACAATTATTATACGGAACAATTCCCAATCCCCGAAAGTCATTTTAAGAACCTAAAAAAGAACATTTTCGTAAACAAAATTTTTTTCTGTCTCAGAATATGAAAAATACACTTCTGCGAAAATTACTTTTTTCAGTTCTTGCAAATCGCAATGCAGCAAAACTCGACCGTTAATGTTGTTGTCTTTGATGACTTGTTTGTACGTCGGTGTCTGAGTCGGATTAAGATTTTCGATTTTGTCAATCAGATCGCAGACGCCCGTTACTGATAAAGATGAGAGTTTTATTTCCAAAATTTCGGACTGTGAATGAAAAATAAAACAATAGAGTAATAAGTCTCTTCTCAGTCACACAAAGAGATAATTGTACGATCAATTTGTGACGTACCGGTAACGAACTTGTCACAGAAAGTGCTTTTGGCAATGGTTCCATGGGAGGCATTTGTACCCAAGGTGACGGAGCTTGCCATTCTATGCTTGGTTGATAGGCCCACGGTGGCGATGTTGGCGGCACAGATCCTTGCAGACTCGATTGTTTGACAAATTTCGCGTGCCGATTTGTCAGAACATTTCTATGCGGAGCTACCGCGTGATCGTTCCAGACGCTGCTCTGTTTGAAAAGTAGACCCGCGTCTTCCTCTATACTCTGTTGCTCCTCTTTTATTTTCTTCTTAATGTACGGATCTAAATTGATAGTAAAGGGCAAGAATATCTTCATGTCACTGACGAGCAAGCTTGATCGATGAAAAGTAAGGAAGACATCCAGCTTGCGTTCGTCTCTATCCAGTTCGAGAAGCGGTTGCACTTCCTTTAGCACCGGAATCTGTGGTCGTACTCTGATAAATATATAAAAAGAAGTGTGAAACACACATACGTGTCAATATAATATATACACAGTTTGTCCGGAAAGTTCCCGGACTGATTTTTTCTAGCGCGGGTAAGCGGCGCTATCGAGCGGTCAACGCTGGAACTAC